AATAATAATAACAATAACAATAATAATAACAATAATAATAACAATAATAATAACATCAATAATCTACTACACCTAATAAAAAACCATCATTTGATTAACTATTTTAATCAACACATAGCAATACTAACAATCCTCCATTGCCTTAATATGAATCAACTTCCAAATCTCCTACTAGATTGACTCCAGAATAGTAAAGATAAAAAAATGAATTATTAGGCATCAATTAAATAGAGACATCAAAATAAATGGAATAATCAAGTAGAATCAATTATTAAATGCAGCAAAGCTAAGAAATGCAAAGATCATAAAACAGAGATCAATCACCCAATCAATCTATGATGAATTCTAATTATTAAGGAGTCTCTCCAAGTAAACCTGGTGTTAGTCCTAATAGTAGAAAACCTATTTTCAATGATAAGATGGCTCAATCTCAAATGATCATTAATAAATATACTTAGCAATCCAATAACTAATCAGGAATGTTTAAAAGTTAAGACATAGCTAATCAGCAACCCTAATAATCTGATGAATTTACAAAATATATGCAATAAGAATAGGAAAGAAAAAGAAAGGAAGAAGAATTTAGAAAACAATAATTAGCTGATTTATAAAAGAGAGAAGAATAAAGATTATTAGAGGAATAAAGAGAAAGAGAAGAGAGATAAAAATAAGAAGAATTGGAAAGATCAAGGAGGCTAAGAGAGTAAGAATAAGAAAATTAAAGAAAGATTAAAGAATTTGAAGAAGAGTAAAAACGATTAAGAGAGCAAGAAAAATTAAGAAAGTAAAGAGAATAAGAAGAGATCTTGTAAAAGTAAAGAGAACAAGAGTTAGAAAAATAGAGAAAGGACAAGGAAGAATAAGATAGACTTAGAAAGGAATAATTGAGAAGAGAATAGGAAGAAAGAGATCGTAAAGTAAAAGAGTAGGAAGAATAAAGGAGAAGGGAAGAATAAACAAAAAGAGAGCAGGAAGAAAGATAAAGGAGAGAATAAGAAAAATGGGAGTAGGAATAGAGAGAAAGGTTAAGAAAAGAAAAAGAGGAATAAGATAAGAGAAGATAATATGAAGAATAATAATAAGAGAAATTAAAATAATAAGAAAGGTAAAAGTAACAATATGAAGAATAACTTCGATTATAAAAATAATAGGAATAGGATAAAAAGCTAAGAGAATATGAAGAGTAGAAAAAACAGTTAAATCGATCTAATTCTAGAAATGTTAGAAGTTAAGAAACAGAAGAAGATAGATAAGCTTAAAAATTAAAGGAATTAGAATAAAGAGCAAGGTAAGAATATCAACAGCATTTGATAAATCAAAGTAATAGTAGTTATGCAAGTAAATAAATAAGCGAAAGCAAGCAACAAAGAAGGTAAATATCAGACGATGATCTATTTATTGCTACTAATAATAATTCTTATATACCATAAAAATAAAAGAATGAAATGAATGAAGATGAATATGAGTTAGAATAGAAGCTTCATAATATGTTAGTTTAAAATCTGTAATTAGAATTACCTCCAATTACAAAAACATTAAAACCCGATGAAAACAGCAATCTTGATTGGGATATCAGTGTGATTGAATAATAATAGAAACAAACTCCATTAATGAAATAATATGAAAATATATAATAGGTAGAAGTTGCCATGCATTAAATTCCATAAAACAATAAATCATTATCACCAAATACTAGATAAACAAGATTTACACCAAGAGTCACTAAAATGGAAGATAGACCGACTCACATTAATAATATGCTAGATGATTAGTTGGATGAATGGGATCTCAGTGAAGATCCTTAAGTAAAGTTGCTTAATCAATTGTTGGAATAGCCAGAAAGACCAAAGAAGGAGAAGCAGAAGTAAAATGTTAATACTAGCTCAAATAATGGATATTCATCTCAATCTTAATAATAAATATCTGTATCCACTTAACCTACAAATAAATTTAGTTTTGGTGAAAGTAAAGCTAAACAAACTTTCAAACCAGAAACGGTTGAAAATGTAGAGGAAAGCTTTAGACAAGATAGATCAATGAGAATGAACACTTCTAGAGACAGAAGTAGAAATAAGATACCAGCTAAATCAAATCCAAAATATAGATAAATCTAATAAGAATAAGAACCAGTTGAAGAATAGTACGATGAAGATTAATTAGAGGATTTAAAGAGATCAAAATCATCCAATCAAGAAAACACCTATGATTAAAAACTAAAACAATTTAAAAAATATGACCACGATCCATATTCAGTTAATTACTAAAATTAGACTTAAGAACAGTATTTTTAATATATAGTAACTTAGATACAAACCAAGAAAGAGTAGGATAAGCGAAAGACAAAATAGAACTATTCCTTAGAGACC